TGTGGTGTGGGTTTAAGTAGCACACGAGGGCTTTGAGGGCAGGATGAGTCGTCCTGACCCATCCAGATACTTCCACATCATCCAGTCCTTCTTAACCAGAAGCAGGGTACTTAAGAAGTGATGGGAGAGGACAGGTCGAAGAAAGCAAATCCTCTTGGAGTTGGTTTCTTGCCCAAACATTCCTCAGAGGAGACAAGAGGTGGGTTTGTTGACCCAGGCAATAGTTTTCCATTGCCTAAGGAATCTGTTCATTTCAGAGTGCCTGGTGCTGGTGAAGAACAAGATGTTCCTGTTGGTACAAAGACCTTCTCAATGCTTTGGCTGTCTGTTTGCAATGTCCATTTGATAACAGATGTACAATAACCTCGGGAGTTTTCTCCTCAAGCCATGCACCTCAGCAGCTCTCTTTATTGAACAGAGAGAGACCTCAGTGTCTCCAGCCTCCATAAAAGCTCCTCAGACACACAACCACAGTGTGCCACACACAGCTCATTCCAGGACAGTATCTTCTTGGAGAAGCGGAGGAATCAGAGCCACCAACTGTTGTTGGATCAAACTTCATCCTGCCCTGTGTCCTGTTTTCAGTGGGACTTGACAGCAGCACCTGGTGAAGAGTATAAGAACAGGCCAAGGATGTAGCTATGTTACATTACAAACATTTTCCCAGGCTCCAGCTATTTGCAGTTGTAAGATTTTCTCAGCAAGATACTGTGTATTGATATTTAAAAGCACTCAATGGATTTTCATGGCATTACTTACTCCAACGTCCCCCAAGCCTACAAAGGCCTTTATTCACCACAGATTCATACAGTGCATTTATACTGTTTGTTCTCAGCTCTTCTTGTAGAAGGTGACTGGCTTTGGGTTTTTTGACTATCCTCAGAATCAAGCCTTGCTCCCTTAGCACAGTTCATCGCACTTCTGAGATCTCTCTCTCTCGTGGCATTATCCCTTATTGAGCTTGTTGCACTGTATTTTAGATTAGGATGGCTCCCTCCTCCCACTGGATCGCTTTGCCTTTCTCAGCATCATATGCTATAACCCCACCACTCCACATTGCAAGGACTTCCTACAGCTGTTCGGTGTAGCTTTTGGGTTTTGCTACTCTGAATAGTCAGCAGCAAACTTCTTCATCTGCCACTTACTCCTCTTTATCATTAACAGACACATTCAACTCCTTTGGCTTTTGACAGGCCCTTGTTGCACCTGACTGATGCCAGTCCTCCATTGGGAAAGCTGGCCCTTCACCTCTCAGTTTTAATTTCTCAGCTTTCAGCTTATTATTTACTCATTAGAGACCCCCATGACATATCCCAAAACTCTGAGAGCACAACAGGACCTCTGGCTGGCCAGGGTCCAACCACCCATGGAGTATCTGGAAAAAGACCTATTTTCCCATCTGCTCTCTCAGCCCAACTCATCAGCTTCCAGGCTTCAATAATCTTCCCCAGGAAGGCTCCCAGTTGTGTCAGTGAGGAAAGGAGAACAGCTGCAGCTCAGGCACAGCAGAGTCATTAACACTGAGTATGGACTGAGACAAGGTAATGGCAGGAGCCAGGCACCAAGGAGGCTCCTCTGGCTGAGCATCCCTGACTCTGCTGAACTCGGCCTATGCCAGACCACTCCTGGAGCACAGTTTCTTTTTCCCAGGGGGAGCTTGAACAGATCCCCACAGAAACACTATCAGGACTTCCTCCTGCAATGCCCTGGGGCAGCCACAAAGAGAACCGTCATTATTCAGCAACCCAGCTTGCTTTTGAACCCTGGAAAACATCCCGAGAGAAAAAAATGTGGCTCTTCCTAATATCCCTTTCACTGGATATCAGTCCTCAATCCCATAGAGATGAACAGAGTGCAGACTTTTCCTCCTAGTTACAATCTTTCATCCTGCCACCCATCCCCAGCTCCTCCCCAGATTGTTCCTGTGGATTTCAGTCTTCAGTTCCCAGCCACACCATGCTTTTGCAAAGTGCTCCCTCAGCCTCCTCCTCAGAGCTCCCAGAGAACAAGCCTCAGGAAAAGCACCTTCCTCTTCTTTCACAGGGAGAGGCCGATTGCTTCAGATAATGGCATTAAATGAACAAGTCGGACACTGAGCAGCAAGATTAGTTCCCACAAAGACTGGGTAGTAATGAGAGTGGTTAAAGACAGGTAATGAGTGGGTGGCACCTGTCAGCTTCATAATGTAGATTATAATTTGTTTATTACTCTTGCTACTGCTTTCGCTGCCATTGGAATGCAATTAATTAATAGCACTGATGAGTCCTGCTCAGTATCTGTCATCCCTGACCTACAAACATCCCTGGGCCGCCACTGCACATGCAGGAGCACTGGACATGTGGTGGCATTGCATGGCCAGTAGGAAGGATCCCACAGCTCAGGGAGAAAAGTTAAAGCCACAATAAACACCCCCCAGTGTACCTCCAGAAGGAACAAACTCACAGAAGTGTTGGAGATTCAAGAAAACTAACCATCATCCATCGTTTTGTAGACTGGAAACTGTATCTCAGGGAAAGTGTTGACCCTGTATCAGGAATGCACAGTGGCAAACCGCAGCTTCAAACGTGACTGACTTTGTTTTGCTAAAAATACCAACGTTTGTAACCCTTGCTTCATGCAGAAACACACACACTTCTCTCCACATTTACCAGCTTTAAAACTAGGCTGGGAATTTCTCTAAACTGCCTTAGCAACTGGCAACACAGCAAAGCAGCAAGCTGGCTGCTCTAGGCTTTTTCAGATACAGTTCCTGTGCAGATCAGGCCCAAATTTGGACCCCCACCAGCGTGGAACCCCTCGACACCAGTGCCTTCACCATGTCCTGCAGCAGGACTTGCAGGATGGACCCAGACAGGGTGAACAGAGAACCTCAGCTTCACTAACTTTCAATAACAACCTTCCTGCCCTCCCCAAGCCACTTGAGTCCTTCCCTTTGCAAAGAAAAACATGCTGTAGGGACATAAATAAAAACCAGTGGCGAACTTCGGCACTGAGCTGCACTATCAGTGCGTGTTCGGGCACAGGCGAGCGCCCACTGAAGTCAGCAGAAGTTTGGGAAGACAAAACACCTCCCACACAAAGGAGAGACAGAGGAAGCAGTCAGAGCTGTAAAGCAGATAAGCTGTCTGTCAGAACAGGCTTGGACTGTCCTAGCAGGAGGATGTTGTCCAATGAAAGGGAAAGCTATTTGGGGAATGAATGAATAGCGAAGCTTCTTGTTTTTTGGTTGGTTTTTCTTTTTTTTTTTTTTTTAAGAAAAAAAACCCAAACAAAACAAAAAAACCACCACAAAACTTTCCCAAACATCTCTCACTCTCAGCTTTCTGCCAACGGGATGCAAGGCCAAGACATGCAGGAGCCTGCCTCAACCTCCAGCATAGGATCACTCAAAGGCAACTGCCAGAATAGGGGCAGAGGGAAGGTGAAGAATGATAGAGAGGACACGGAGACAGAGCTGACAGCAGAGCTCTTGTTCTGTCAGAGGAGAGGGCAGCTTTCTGCAGTCTCAGCACCCTGAATCCCCTCAAGCTAACATCCAGCATCCTGTTTTGCACAGCTCTGAGAGGATCCTGCTTGGCTCTCAGGGGTATGATCCTGCCTGGACCACTGCCTGGTCCACGCAACAGGGAATCAGCTACCCAGGGAGAGGAAGTGGCAAATTTAGAATAAGACTCAAACAAACTGCACCACTGGAGCAGAGCTGTAAATCTTTCACCAGGTACTGAGCACTTCACTGCCAGGATAAATGCACAAGAAAATGATGGGTCCAATCCAGAGCTGCATTGGCAAAAGGAAGGAAAGTGCTTATCCCTCTAACTGCACCCCCTCATGCATAATTCAGCTCAAAATCTCCCATACTGAAAAATGCTGTGCTTTTAGGATGTTATATCCGCAATCAAACCTCAGAGCTCAGCTTCTTGCTGGCACAGGACTTTCATTAATGCCATATCAGTGACCAGGGTCTCGCCAACGCACCAGTCTGCTCCCTCCCACTTTTTGCAGGGCTTATCACAACAATTCACCTCTCAGAAGAAAACAAGGCAAAACCACAAGTCAAACTAGAGCACTCCTTTACAAGAAAAGGAAAGAAAATAAAAGAAAAAGACAACACAGGCCTGAAACAAAGAGTAAACTTCATAAAAGCAAAACCCCAAATCATGAAGAATCTGCCCTTGAGGCTGTGATGGGAGATGAGAAGAGCAGGAAGATGAGAAGAGTGCTCGAATGCAGAGACTTTCAAAATAAAGCACTGAGAAACTCAGCAAATGGCTTTACATAAGCCAGATGTTTCTCCAGGGAAAGAAAGTAGGGAAATAAATAAATCTGTCTGGATTCCCTTTTCTCCCCAGACTTGGGTCCCTCACCAAATACTTCTTAAGGCCCTACATGCTCTTGGATCACTTATACCACTGGGCAGCACATAAGTAACACACATATCATCCCCTCCAAATCTCCCACAGAACAGCTGATCTCCATTTCCAACATCTCAATGTCTCCAAGAAGAAATGGGGCCAGGGCTCTGTTCTCCTACAGGACCACGGAACCGCTGCCAGGTGGGAGTACCTCAACTCCCAGCTATCTGAAGAAACAGAAGGCAGTGGAGAAACCAGGGAAAGCACATAAGGACAATGCAGAACAAGAGCAATTTCAGCAATGAGCACGATTGGAAGGGAGGCAGAAAGGCCTGCAAAGCACTGGTGGTCTTGCCTTGCACCAGGTAGGGGAGGGGGTTCCACACTGCCCCAGCACCGAGGGGCCCGTGTGGCCCACAGAGACAGGGTCCCAGCAGCCCATGGCCATCCAGCTGGCCCAGGTGGCTGCGCCTGCCACGGGATTCATTCCCAACCCGTAATTAAACCCCAACCCTTGAAAGAGCCACCAGAGCTGAAACCACAGCTTCCGCCCAGACCCGGCTCCCAGCCCAAACACAGGATCACAACACGGCGGAACAGGGAAGCCGGGAGGTGACAGGGAGGAGCCCGCAGGCTCCAGAAACTCACAGCTCCACAGCAGGCAGCTCAGTCTCTGACCACAGGTGCCGCCTCCATCACGGCTGCCGAGGGCTGTGCCGCCATCGCAGGCTGAGGCGTTCGGCCAGCTCGGGGCCTTCCTGCCAGGGCTGTTCATCCTCCCAGCTCTGCAGGACCCAGCCGCAGTTCTGTACCACTGTGACGGCCACGAGCCTTTCAGGCCACCAGGCGGGGTCCCCTCAGGTGCCCCTGGAGCAGCGTGTGGTGAGGCAGGACCCTGGGGACAGCTGTCCTGAGGGCCGACGCCTCACCTTTTCCCGCCAATTTAAGGCGGTTCCCACACGGATAGCACACAGACAGCTGTTCAAACGCAAGCATGGCCCCAGCAAACAGCCGAGCCACATTTGCAGCCTGGACCCCACAGTGCCAGACCGGACAGGGCAGCTCCAGGAGGCCTCGCTATGGCCCATCCTTTGTGCCCGTGCTGCTGGGAGACACAGCAAGGAAGTCGGGGGACAAAACCAGGAGAAAGGGTAACTGTGCAGTTTGAATAAAGACACTTGCGGGAACAGGACGTGGAAGCTGAATGGGACTTCCAGGAGCTGCTCTCCCTGCTGAACGTTCCCTCACCCACCCTCTCATCCCAGATTACATTTAGCCAGCCCAGCACCACACAATTAAGAGACAGATTTGAGGAGGCACGGGAGCAAATGGCACAAAATCAGGAAGAAAGCCTGCTTTCACACTCCTTACAAGCACCTCAGAGCATGACTATCACAGCCTGTGCCAGTTGGCTGTAAATACAGGGACGTGTTCATTAGCTGAATTATTTGAGTGCCTTTGCAACACTGCAAATAGCCTGATTTGCTCACACAAAGGATAAAACAAGACTTCAGCAGCCCACAAATAACCTGGTTACCTTGGAAATGTGAGCACCCAAATTCAGATGGTAGCAGGAAGAGTCTCCTTTTCCACGTGCGTCTCCAGGTGATGCAACAGCAGACAAGTTCAGAGCTGCCGAGGTTGACTTGCATCATGCTCAGAACATGTTTGCTGCCACACCAAGGGAAGGGGACGTAAGCAAGGGAAAAAAAGCTACAAGTAACCACAAAGCCCCTTCCCCAAGCTCATAGAGCTCTTGATGCTGGGCTTCCTGGTGAGGAATTGCAGAAGTTGAGCTCTGTGCTTAGACCTTTGGGGTTTTGCCGTGACTTGAAAAGGAGGGAGAAACTTTTTTAAAGCACCTAGGCCCTGTGGTCCCTCTAACTGTTCAAATGAGGAGTTAAGACAAAGTCATTAATTGGGAAAAAAGATAAATTCCCATTTGTATTGCCTGAGGACTTGTGGCATCACAAGCGAAAACCCAGGCACAGCAGATCTCTGTGCCCAAACAGGACATTACCTGGTTTTGTAGAGCAGAACACCACAGAGCATCTTAAAGCAGCTCATCTGGAATCAATGGGTTAACCGAGGAGCTTCTCCCTGCTGCGTGTGGGAAGCTGTATCTCCTTGCCAAATTCCTCTGCTCTGAACATAACCAGCTTTCTCACTCAGCCCGTGCTCCTACGCTCAACCATGCTCGTGCCTGCCTCTGCAAGGGAGTGTAGACAGACCCCACGTTCTCTTTTCCCTCTGTAACTATTTCTCCAGCATTGCCCCTTGCCTGGTGTCAGTTCTCTTCGCCTCACTAAATTACAGGACATCAGGTCTCCAAGGAAACCCCTCTGAGCCAAGAAGCACGGTGCAAGACATTTGTAAAACACTGATGGCTGAAGACCAGCCAGGCTGGCTGCTCCCTGCTGTTGAGGCCAGGAAGCTTGGAAAAGGCTCCTTTGGGTCTTGGAGGAAAGAGCACTTGCAGGTGGCAGGATGATTTTCAGACAAGTCATCTCCTTCCTTTGGCAACAGGGCTTTTGAGTGCAGCAGTGCTGGGACACTCAGGGTAGACTTGCATCTCCCAGGATCAGGTACCCCAGGGAGCTGCCAGAGGAGCAGCCTGGTAGCTGCCTGCACATCAGCCCTTCCTCCAAAGCCATGGCAAAACAGCAGCTGTGCTGTTCCAGCCAGCCACAACTCAGCTACCACACAAATGAGCTTACAGAGCTAATGCTAACTGCTAATATCCTACTCCACACCTTAGCAGAAAATCCTAAGAGGAAATTAGATGGAAGCAAATATAGCCATACACCTGACAAGCTATTCTGCACTCCAGTGCACAGCCTCCAGCATGGTTTCCTATCTTCCTCAAGAGGTATTCTACCACGTAATTACAAGGTAAAACCTAGAGGTCTTTTTTTCCCCTGCATACCAGGTAGATTTTCATTTGTTTAGCCACAAACAGACCTCTAAATCAATATATAGATTCCCATCATGCAGTTAAGGAGTAAACAAACTCATGCACACACACACACACACACATAGACACACACAGACACACTCTCCCTGGGCTCCTGCTTCAGCCTCTACCTCCCCTCTGCACTCACCAGCCTGAGCTGTTTCTGGAATTAAGCTGTCTTTGGTGCTCAGGCCCTAGGATTAGAAGAACAAGGTGACACATATACTCACTTTGAGGAACTGAACAACTGAATAGATAGCCATTTAATTTCTTGCCATTTAGGTTAAAACAAGGAATGCTGGGGTAGGGGGGAACCCAGCCCTACCTAGCTACAAGCAGAGTCGTGGGGAGCCACAGCTCCCTTAGCTGGGCTGCACTCACAGCCACATTTCACCCTAAAACATCCTCATCAGCCGCTCCAGATTTCCCACAAACTGCACCTGGGGAGCACAAGGGGACAGCACAGCCCGTGTGCAACCCACACTGCAACCCCTTTCCCCCAAAGATGCAGGAGGGGGCTCCTGCTCTCCGGGAGATCCAGGATAAGTCATCAGGTGGCTGCCCACAAGGCCACAACTTCTTGCTTTCCTACCAAAACACAGTCTGCTAACACAACAGTTGTGGGCAAGGCTTTGCCGTGCCTTTGTAGGCCACGCTTAAACGGCAAACAAAAGTGTCTTTAGTTTATCTATTTATTTTTGGCGCAGAGGAATGGCTGGGGTCAAAGCCAGTCCCATTCTCAAGCTGTTCTTTGTTCTCTGGTTTATCCAATACCCCCTTATCCCTCTCCTCGCCCTCCCACCTCCCCCTCTCCATTTTACCACAGGTCTTAAAAATTAAGCTGTGCATGAAACCAAACACCACACTTGAACACTGCCCAGCAAATGCTCTTCATGGTCACAGAAGAATACTAATTGACCATAAAAAACGGATAAGAGCAGCGTGCCCTTATATGGGCAGAGGCTAGACAAGCATCTGACACAAACATCATTTTTAAAGAAAAAATAATATTTATTTGCAATATAAACAAAGTCCCAATATTGGATCAGTATATATAGGGTCACTAATTTTCCTTCATAACTCAGAAATCAGAACCATTCCTCACTAACAAGCTCTCATTTGTACTAATCAGAAAGATGCATCTTATTTTTTTCCTTTAAAGAAGAAAGACCACTAACAGCACAGGAAGCCTTTACAAACCAGCTTAGCTGTAACGCAATACAGATGCACTGTCAAAAAATCCCTGAAAAAATAAATTCCTCCATGAGGTAAGATGCAATTAGAATATTCCCAATTTTCTCACTTGCAACCGTACGCCCATTCTCCCTTCCAATGACCCACGATCCCAACATTGTGGCAAACAAAACCCAACAAACAAACAAAAAACAACCAGAAAACAAGAAACAGAAGCTCATTCCAACATTCTGATAACATCTTGTAACAAAAAGAACAGTTTCAGGATGTGACAGCGTCAAACATTCCTCCAGATGGAGATTTTTTTAATTATTTTTTTCATTTTCTTGAAAAAAGTACAAAAAACTGGATATTTAGAAAAAATCCGTGGCTATTTTTTTTTCTTTCAGTTATGTGAGAGTTAAAGTGGACAGGGAGGGGGGAGAAAGGAAGGACTACATTGCAGCCAATAAAGAAATCTCCAAATCCGTTCTGCCCTCCTCCCAGAAATTATTACCACTTCCTCCCCTCCCAGCTTGGTATAAGGAGTTTGCCAAACACTAGCCAGAAATACATACAAGTCTTCTCAGAATAGAAGGCACGGCATAAAGTTATTCAAAAGAGGAAGAAGGAAAAAAAATCAGAACCTCTGTTGAAAGCTCCAATCATCTCAGAATTTGCCAGTTAATATATATATTCATATATATATATATATATATAAAAATTCTCTGTTACAATGCTCTCCTCCTCACTTGCACATCTCTTCGTGCCCCTCACACGCTCCGTGCGTGACGATCCAGTCCCGTCCCGCTACGCAATCCTGGCTCTGCTCCGGGCACTCGCTGTGCTCCCCCTCCACCCCGCACACATGGGAAAGAATCGAGTGTGCACAAGAAACGCCAGCATCGCAACTACCTTCAGTGCTCGGGAAGCTGGGATGGTTTCGGGCCAGCTGGATGACGTTAAGTCAGTCAACAGGCAGCAGAGAATGAAGCTGGGCTCAGACATGCTTCTACCAACTCTGGAGGCTACAAGAGTTTTACCTCTGGCAATAGCAAACAGTGTTTTTTGGCAGGGGTGGCATTAAAAAAAAAAAAAAAAAAAAGAGGAAGCTTGCGGCTTAGTCACCTTGGCTGAATCAGTGCAGAGTTTGTGATTGTGAGTGCAGGAGTGGTGAAGGGGTTGCGTTCAAGCCCAACTGGCCTTCACACATAACAAAGCTTCCTACTAGATGCTAACAACGACAGCAGCAGCATGTATCTCTCTCTGGAGTACCCAGTAATATGCCAGGACATACCAAGGCTTCACAAAGTGTGCAAAATGCATTTGGTCAATATAAACATTTGATTAAAAAAAAAATAAATGATCAAACAAGAGACAGAATAAAATACTGGTTTTGCAACCTCGTCTGTACAAACAGTCAGGAACTTACATATTTAAAAAGAGTTTGAACCCAAAGCTCGAGTAAGATCTACCTTTTTTTTGTTTGTTTTTTTTAAATCAAAAAAAAGTAAACTTGGGTTTTAAAACAGTCTTGGCCCAACACCTTTTGTTCACGGTTTCCAAGTGCATAAATCTCCTCATTTTCCACAGCAAGCTAACCCCTGGTAGCTCTTCGCACGTGTGTGTGTTCTGACAGTCCCAATGCACCCAGGAAAGCGGTTATTGCCGGTGACAGCTGCGCTCAAAATGCTGTAACATCGCCCGTATTAAATAACCCCCTGTAAAAACACTACCTCTTGGAACCACTTGGATCAGGATACTAGTGAACGGCATTAGCCTTCCTAAAGCAGCGATCAGGCACCTCTGCCCAGAGAAGCTACTCCTTCCAGAGCTGCCTGGCAAGACAGATATTTTCGTAAGAGTTGAAATGCTCAAGAGAAGCGATTCGATGCTCGAGTTCCCGACCAGGCAGTGTCCTCTTCATGTGGACTCCAGGGTGTTCAGCTGAAACAGGTTGTGGTTGGTGGGGGTGGTGAAGTAGAGCTGTTCACTGGGCGAGCGGTTGTCACAAGGGCTGTTGAGTCCCAGAGTCCTCTCAAAGTCCAGGAGTTGGCCCATGAAGTTAAAGTTTGGGGAAATGTTGGATTTTTTCCTTTTCACAAAGTCATAGGCATCGTTCAGGGACAAGTTGAGTTTTTGCATCAAGTAGGCGACAGTGACTGTTACGGACCGGCTGATGCCAGCGAGGCAGTGAACAAGGATCCCACACTTCTTGGAACGGGCCTCATCTGAAACAAGACAAGGGGAAGGGGGAGTCTATTATTCTGCACCAAAAACACACGGCTTTGGAGCAGGGCCAGGTGGCAGCTGCAAGCTCCTAGGACCAGGATGACTGCCAGAACTGGATCCCCTGCTCCTACTGACACCATCTCATGTCCCTTTGACACCCACATCT